ATAGTGACAAGATAAATTATAGTTTTTTTCACACTGTCTGTTTTGTGCACTCTGCTATAATTACTATCTTGTGAGGTACATGGCTGTCAGTGGCAGGGTATTTATAGACGCAGTGATTTAATAGATAGCCTGTTTTGTAACCTTAATTATCGTACTTCTCTGTGTTCTTCACTTTTCTTCTGTCTTACTAGTTACCCTATCAGCCACTGACACAGTAATTAGACAGGTAGACCCTGCTTGTCTCTTTTGGAGTTTGAGATGTAATGAAATATTTAAATAACTTGTTTTCTCAAGCTTATCCATAACTTTGCATGCTGCCTTATTAAAATCTGGAATATAACGTAGCAAATATGGCACTTTCATATCAGAGGCTTTGATGTATAATTTCTTCACTAGGTTTTATGTCCCTTCAGTTGCTGTAGCTGTTTATTTTGTTTTTTGTTTATATATATTTAGAATCACTTGTGTTGGAATCGCCAGATGTGTGGTTTTCATGTTATAGCTTAGCAAGATACTTCTGTGTTAGAATGCTGCCCATTCATTGTATTTGAGAATCTCTTGCTTGAAGGTTTTGTTTCCTTAGAACTGAGCCTTTTTCTTACTTAAAGCTATATATCGGTGTTCAAAAATATATATAACAGCAAAATTGTACTGGATTATCTGGTAGGGGCTGCTGATCTCCGATTCCAGGAAACCGTAGTCTTTCTCTGCTGTTGGAAGTTATTAAATTTCCAATTTAATTTCCTTCACTCTGACCTCATTCGTGCTTAGTGAGATTACCGCCTCCTTCTGCAGTCGCTTCTGATTTCCGATGAGCCAGTTTCTCTGGGGTCAAGCGCAGGGGGGCTGGCAGGGCTGGAGATCAGCACGGTGTGGGCACTGTGTCAGTCATAGGTATATCACTACTGTTATTTTTCTTCGCACATACTGCCTGTAATTTCAGCTAAACCTCTCTGAAAAAGCTAAAGGCAGGCTCCAGTCTTGCTTCTTTCTGTATGGTGGTCTGATTGGAGTTTGCAGATGTGTAGGCTGTTTTCCTTGTTCTCCTTTTTCTGTATTTTTGTACATAAGACGTAACAGGACTGAATATCGCACTATATCTGTAATCACACTTTTATCCTAAATATGTGAGTTAGATATCCATGTGCGCCATTAATATACACATATTCAGTGTCAACAAAAATCAACAGGAAGGGTTTAGTCAAGTACAGTAGTTATCAGTGTAGTTATTTTATATACAGATGTATTTTTTGAAGTGTCTTTTAGAGCCCAGACACTTTCAATACTTTCTGGGAGCTATGGTACATCCATCTGCCTGTTTTCTAACTGCTTCTTCCAATTCAGGGTCTCGGGGAAGCTGGAGCCAATCCTGGCAAGCAAAG